ATCATTTTCACGAACGCATGACGCTTCTCCTTGTTGACGATGACCGTCTGGACTTTGCCGTAACGACTGAAGATTTCGCGGACTTGACGTTCCGGCATACTGCTATCACTTATCAGTCACTGATACCACGGCGCGTGCATGCACCCCGCCCTAAAAAGTGCTTACTTGACACCACCCACGAAGAGCGTTCGGCTAAGAACCTTGATATGGCCGGCAGGGAGAGACCGGTCGTAGTCGATCCACTTATCGTTTGAACCATGTCGGGAACTGTTGCTAGCGCCACCATCACGATTCGGTGGTGGACTACGTTGGCGATAGTCACTGTCGCGGCCACCTCTGTCGGGGGAGCGACGGCTATAGTCAGTGCCGTTGTCACGGCGACCTCGAGAAGAGCTGCGCGGGTCCCAGTGGCGACCGGGCGACCTGGATCGAGAACGACCCTGGTGTCGATTCGGGGATCGCGCGCGGTCATTGTTCCAAACCTGGCCGAGGTTGGCACTGGGCTGAGCAGAACCGCCGTGTCCCTGGCCTTGGGCGTAGTAATTCTGCGCGGCAACGATGGAGGGAGCAGCGGGGCTGTGTGTCGTACCGTTCTGGGCACCATTCACAGCCGCGAGCATGGCAGCAAACTTGTCGGCGGTAAGACCCTGGCTAAAAAGACTTTGCAGCATCGCCATCTGTTCGGTAGTGTTGAGAGAGGCACCCGCAGGCGGCTGAGGCATTTGGGGCATCTGGGACATCTGGGACATCTGGGGCCACTGGGGCATCTGAGGCAGACCTGGAAATTGCATGCCGGCAGGCTGGGTTTGTTGTTGGGTCGAAGGCAGCGAAAACGAGGCCGGGGCTGGCGCGGTAGGGGCGCCGCTAGTGAAAGGAGACATCGAGTGTGGGAACTGCTGAGAGTTTGTGGGAGGCGCAGATTGCTGCTGCTGCTGTTGAGGAGTGACACTCTGGAGTCTGGAGAGCAGACTCTGCAGGTTGGCGGGCACCTGCGGGCTACTCTGGGTCTGGACTGGAACTTGGGGTTGACCAGAACTGTGACTACCATTTGGATACTGGCCGTTGTTGTGGCCCGGGCCACTATATTGAGGTTGTCCCTGGTTCTGTCCCTGAACGCCGTTTTGGCCCTGTTGCCGCGAGAACCTCGCAAGGTTCTCAAGATTCGCCAGGATGTTAGTGGCATCTGACGCAGGCGTTGAAGACTGAGCCGAGGGCGGAACCACTGGCTTATTGTAGCCCATCCGCTCGACCAAGTCTGGGGGGGGACTACCCTCCGGCGTGAAGGACTGGGCTAAAAGATCAAAATAATTAGTTTGAGGCAGAACTCGAGGGTTTTGGCGAGCGAAGTGACGAAGCCCAGCACTAAGTAAACGGTGAAACATACTCGGGGCGGAGGCAGACGTAGCCTCCTCCAGCTTGTTCTGGAATGACTCTATCATCTCAGGGGGGAAAGTGAGGCCTTTGCGCCAGATTTCAATCAACTTGTTCAACTTATCCTACGAGGCAAAGCAGTGTGAGTGGGTAATTCGTCAAATTTAGTTGTAGTCAAGAACAAATGGGCGCCAATGTGTGTGAGTGTGCAGTCTCTGTAGTCCCATTCTTGTGTCCCAAGTGTGAGACAAGGGTGGAGGATGAAAGACTGCACGCACCGAGCGCCGCTATCGTCACAAAAGTACGAGGGGGCATGTTATGGAAAACGGTCTAGTGTTCCAGGGTTTGACACATACCTTATAGCCCTCGGGCAAAGCTCGAAGCAGGTCATCAATAAGATTGGGCATGAGCATGGTCAGTCGGTGTGCGCCGGCACCAAACGTGCCATCTGGGGCATTCTCGTTGGAGACTTGCTGGCGACTTCTGGCCTGCTCAAGCCATTTGCGGATCACTGAGTCCACTACATACAGGATGCCGAGCTTGTAGGGAGGGGTTGCCATCTTGAAGTACGTGAATAGCTTTTGGATAAGGACCGACTCATACTGCAGAAAAAACGCCAGAGGTTAGTCTACTCCACCAGCCTACTCAAGATTGCGATGTCGTATCAAAATATCGTATCATACCTGAACGTTTTCAACACAGATGCTGGTCATAGCAGCAATGCGAGTGCCTGTAACGCCAGGAGCCTTGTAGTCCGAGATGGCCTTGAGAGCGGCCTCAAGGGCCGCAACAGGCGGAGCGGAAGCCATCTTGCAGGCTGATACGCAAGAATAGCGATGGCGGCAGTGGTGCGCTTTTCTTCAGAAGTGGTCTCGTTGCGAAGTACGGGTGGAAGAATGTAAGGTGGACTGGCAGGCGCGCAAGAGGGGAGGAAAGAGGCAGACTTCGCGACCTGCTTGGGGAAAAGGGTGGCGCGAGGTGTGGTTTACTGATTGCGCGGGAAGATACCTAGGTAGGTACGCGAGCTCCAGGGAGTGGAAAGGGTCAACGAAAGGAAGGCACCACGCCTTTTCCTGGATGAGAAAAAAGACAGGTATAGCCAGGTCGCTCCTTCCCTCGATCAACAGCTTTTTGCGATATTTTTCTTGTTTTACGGACCGCAGGCAGAAAAATCCCAAAATGTCGCAGAAGCCACACTCTAAAGGTACGAATAAATCGAGTCTGTGGATTTGGATGAGTCTCTACTTGTACGGACAGAGCGCGCGACACCTTTTGACGAGTCGTCCAAGGTCACAGAGGAGATTTCAAATGGCAGGAGCCGTCGCCTGGACTACTTCTTTTTTGGCTTCACCCACGATCGGACTTGCGCGGTCCTCGAGGGAAGAAATACGATCCTCGTCAAAGTACGATGATATTTTCGATGGAAATCAGTTATCTTAGGCTTCGGGGAGGGCGGGTGGCTGGCGGCAGTCTCGCGCTGGGCTTTTGTCAGTTTTCCTAGAAGGGAGAGTGGTGAAGATGGGAGGTTGGAAGAGGAAGAAATTCAGAAGTGGAGACGGACACACAGGATGGGAGCTGGTGTGACACTTTGGGGAGCACGGGGAACTGGTCCTTTGAGTCGCTGGCAGGTGGCAGGCGGTAAGTATGTGCGTCACTAAAGACCGCTTTATTTCGCCCTATTTTTAGTGGTGGTTCAATCAAATAACCAAATGTCTTTGTCAGCTCGAGCTCACGTTATGTGCGTGTCTGTGCCTGAGGCATCATTTCTTTGGTCTTATTGCTTTTTTTTTTTTCCTTTTTCCGAAGCGAGATGATGGTCCACCACCGAGGTTCTACCGCGACGCCGTTGTTGACGGATCGGACAGCAGCAGGTAGCTTGAGTTGTGCTTACTTATTCCGCGCTGGGCAAACAAGGATTCCGTTCGTCAACCAATTTGGAAATGGCGGGAATTGTCTCCAAGTCTAGTGCTAGGATTGGCCAAAGCTCCCTTTAACGTGTGTGCGATGACGGGCAGGACATCAACAGAAAGTATTTGTGGGCGACGGAGCTGGACCCTGTCCTTATCGTTGCCGCAATACTTCACGGACTGTTTACTATCCACAGAGGAGTAGTTGTTCCCTAGCAACACCGCACTATGATCTCCATTCAGACTGCCACTTCACGATCCCCGCCGAACGATAACCTGTATGTATCCTGTTCGGCATGCAGCGGCCACTACCCATATCGCACATGCGATTGCAGAGCGACTACGCGATGGTCCGAAGGCAGCATTAACTGTCTTGGTTGTAGACGAACAGAACTAGTCATCTTCCTCGGATGAGCTGGTCGAGCTGTGCCATGGTTGGCGTTGCGGACAGACCGGAATGCGGAATGCGTGGTTTTAATTGGCCCATCATTGGGACCTACGGCGGGTCCTGGAGGCTCGGAGCTGGTGGAAGATGCGTGAGACAGGGCTCGGAAGAGAGAGAACGGTACTGACGCTGACTCTGGCGAGTCCGGTCCTCATCTCTGCAGATGGCTGATTCTGAGTAACACGGACGACTCGTGGGGGACCGGGCCGTAGTCTAAAAAGCCCGGGTGTCTGGATCGTTACCGGTCGCCCAGTCTCACCGTGAGGCGCGTTGTCCTTGGCCGTCCGTCCAAGGGTCTAAAATCAAGGCTGCGATATTGTGTCTACGATCGACGGGCATCGAAGTAGGGCCTTCCGAAACTCGGACGAAGAGTGGGTACTCCGAGAGAAGCCGCCCAGTTACCACCCATCTCGGCTTTTCGCGCTCAAGAGGAGCGCTGGATACGGGTGACAAAACTGGGGACTGGAGCAGATGCCAGACTCTGCAGATGTTACGGTGGAACCATAAGGTGTACGTAAACAAAAAGAAATAGAGAGATGAAGAAGAAAAGATGGGGGCATGTTAAGAAAGGCTCCCGCAGGTGAGATCCCAAGGTTGTTGACTGGCCAAATTGACAGAATCCGCGGTTGGGGCGCACAAGAAATACATCTTGCACGTCTCTGGGTACGTATCTCTTCGCGAGTCGCTCGCCTCTACGGTGCTTGCTTTCTCCCTCGTAGCCTTTTCTATCTACCTGGTATGTATCCGTGTGGGTTTACCTGAGGTATCAACGGTCTAGAGGTTTTCCATAGCAGCAATTGAGACCTCAAAGGGAGAATGTCAACGGAGTGCCGGATGGCGGCTGAGCCTCTCACTCAATTCCTGCATGCCGGCGCAATAGTGCGCGCGCTATGGCGCGTTGAATGTTCTGCAGTCTGGCCTCGATCTGCATCTGCTGGATTCTGGACAACCTGGAACCTGGGGAGCTCAAAGAAAAAAAAAATTCCACGGTTAGACCGACGTTGGGAGCGCACTGCAGGGCAGCCGGGGTGCGACAGATGTACCTGCAGCGCCAAAATGGCTAGCGTTAGTACCTCACCGCACTTGGAGACAACCCGTATGCCCGCTGAGGTACATTGTTATTTCCACACACCTGTGACGTGACCCCCGAAAAGGCCCCCCGGTCCAAGAGCGCCTTGCTTCATATTTTTCTATCCCATTGCCTGCGGCTTTTTTCTTTCCCTCCTTTCCGACCTTCATCCTTCACCAGTCCCTGAAGCCTCACGATATCTTCCACAATGTCCGTAGCGCGTCTTTCCTCCTCCGCTCTGAGGGCTTCCCTCAGAGCCTCCCCCTTCAAGGTGTCAGCTTTCAACGCTGCTCGCTGCTACTCTTCCAAGAACCAGGTAGGCCGCCCTTCCACCATGCCGCTTGTCCGGCCGATCCCAACACCTCGGTTATCATGAAACTGACATGACCGCATCTAGACCTTGAAGGAGCGCTTCGCTGAGCTCCTCCCCGAGAAGATCGAGGAAGTCAAGGCTCTGAGAAAGTAAGTTGCAGCCATCCGTTAAGCCTCCTTGTCGCGAGTCCGGCATCCGCTAACCTCGCCGTCGCAGAGAGCATGGCGGCAAGGTCATTGACCAGGTCACTCTCGACCAGGTCTACGGCGGTGCCCGTGGCATCAAGTGCCTCGTCTGGGAGGGTTCCGTCCTCGATGCCAACGAGGGTATCCGTTTCCGCGGCAAGACCATCCCCGAGTGCCAGGAGCTCCTCCCCAAGGCTCCCGGTGGCAAGGAGCCTCTCCCTGAGGGTAAGTTTAGGTTCCACGATAAGCTTTTCCGTTCATTGTACTGACCACGGTGCGTAGGTCTCTTCTGGCTTCTCCTGACTGGCGAGGTCCCTACCGAGCAGCAGGTCCGCGACCTGTCCGCCGAGTGGGCTGCCCGCTCCGATATTCCTAAGTTCGTCGAGGAGCTCATCGACCACTGCCCTACCGACCTTCACCCCATGGCCCAGTTCTCCCTGGCCGTCACCGCCCTCGAGCACACCTCTTCGTTCGCTAAGGCCTACGCCAAGGGTGTCAACAAGAAGGACTACTGGGGATACACCTTTGAGGACTCGATGGACCTGATTGCCAAGCTGCCCACCATTGCCGCTCGCATTTACCAGAACGTCTTCAAGGGTGGTAAGGTTGCCCCCGTCCAGAAGGACAAGGACTACTCCTTCAACTTCGCCAACCAGCTCGGCTTCGGCAACAACAACGACTTCGTCGAGCTCCTCCGTCTCTACCTGACCATCCACACCGACCACGAGGGTGGCAACGTCTCTGCCCACACCACTCACTTGGTTGGCAGTGCTCTTTCCTCCCCCTTCCTGTCCGTTGCCGCTGGTCTCAACGGTCTGGCTGGCCCTCTCCACGGTCTGGCCAACCAGGAGGTCCTCAACTGGCTCACCGAGATGAAGAAGTCCATTGGCGATGACCTGAGCGACAAGGCCATCACCGACTACCTCTGGTCCACCCTGAACGCCGGCCGTGTCGTTCCCGGTTACGGCCACGCCGTCCTCCGCAAGACCGATCCCCGCTACACCGCCCAGCGCGAGTTCGCTCTGAGTACGTGCCCCTCCGGCTTGATCCATGAAGCCCGCAGAAAGAAGCTAACAACCCTACAGAGAAGATGCCCAACGACCCTATGTTCCAACTCGTCAGCCAGGTCTACAAGATCGCCCCCGAGGTCCTCAACCAGCACGGCAAGACTAAGAACCCCTACCCCAACGTCGATGCCCACTCTGGTGTCCTCCTCCAGTACTACGGTCTCACCGAGGCCAACTACTACACTGTTCTCTTCGGTGTCTCCCGCGCCATCGGTGTCCTTCCCCAACTCATCATCGACCGGGCCCTCGGCGCCCCCATCGAGCGCCCCAAGTCCTTCTCCACTGCCAAGTGGGCCGAGATTGTCAAGAAGCTCTAAGCCTGTACACGTAGGAGACTGGAGTGCGAAAGACGAGGAGAAGACGGCGGACGCGAGTAGTGTTGCCTGTGTGGAAAAGGCGGCAGGGTCGCAGGAGCGATCAACAATAGACATGAAAAGCAGCGTGTTGTTTCAGTCGGGGTGGATAGAAAGGCTCCGCGCGATACCATCCACTGCGCTTGTACAATATCGAGAAGGGCTGCTTTTACCGGGAATTTCTGGCTTGTTTTAGTTACCTTGGCCAAAAGCTGACACGGGCTTGCGTCCTGAATACACCATGACGATTTTGAAGTTTACGTCTGAACTATTTTGTTTGCCATCCTTGCGAGGTCTGTTCGCAAAACATGGGTCGCACGCCAATATGATGTGATGACTCGGGATGAAATGGAGTCGCAATGGGGAACAATTGCCGATCAAGACTTTTTTGCGCATGGCGGGTGGAATGTCATGCACGCCACGATCCCTTGGGGCGTACGGCGGGACTCGAGCTATGCAAGCTTAGAGTCGAGCTGCTGCAGGCACGCGCGCACCAGTAGTTCATGTCACTTCAATGGATGTATGTAAGCCGAAGCCATCTTACATTACATTAGCTTACGCATGTCTACACGGCCGATTGATTGCTTGTTCCCCAAGCGGAGTCCGAAGGAGACTGGGAAGGGCGCGGCTCTTCCTAAAGGGGGGAGAGAGTCACGGAAAGAGTGCCGCATTTCTAGCGAGAGGTCCATTGAGTGATAAGCTGGCAGCTGTAATGCTGTATGTACCAAGGTACCTAGGTAATTACCTAGAAAAGTCATCGATGCAGAAAAGGAAGGGGGACAAAACAATTGCGAGTGTGAGACTTGAACAAAGCAATGGCAAACGATTGACCGAATGGTAGGTGCAAGTGGAGGGCCGACGAGGGTCGCGGTTGAGGCTTTGCATACGGAACGTCCCCACGGAATTTTGCGTTGAGCTCTCCAGATGGGGACAAGGCTGGAGCTGTTGGGGTGGTTGAGCTCCAAGCTGGGCGAGTTAGTGTCCGTTTAGAATTGCTGGTGGAGAGCCCACGGGCCAGTCCGTGATCATTGTCGAGGAGATGCGCAGCCAGCGGACCTTATTTTTTTCTTCTTACTGATGTTTTGGTGCAGGAGGGTGCTATAGACCAATGGAGAGCTAGAGCTCCCTGCTAAAGCTGAGATATGAGGTGAGGTGAGAGGTCAGCCCTGGTGAGGAAACATCAACGGCTGGCTGGTTTCTATCCCTATTCCCAGCTTTGGCTGGCATTAGACTGTATGTCGGGAGTGTTCAATCGGTACACGACAACAAGTGAAAACATTCTCGAATTGACTTTGACCGTGACGTGCCGTCTATGCTGTACGTTGGACGACTCCTGGGCGAGGCAGGCGCAGGGAGAAGGAAAGGGGGTCTCGTCTTATAATAATGTCCAGACAGACAGACGGCGCCATCTTAGCCTTGACCGCCTGTCTCACCATCGCATTCTATTCCCATCTCCCGTGTCGTTGTTGCGTCCATCTGCTGGCCATTTCAGTAGTTGAACACGCCAGTGCAATGTACCGACCGGCGTGAAACCCAGCTTAGGTACCTAGGTAGGTACCTTACCTTGGGTACACTGCCTCAACCATTTAGGCGAGAAGGAATCAATGACTGCTTGGCTGCTTACTTGGCCATTTTGCTTCAGGGGAACTATCCATCGGCGATTGACTGGGACACACTGGGTCTTACCGCTCTCTCGATTTCCCATTTCCCAAGCTTGATTGTTTCCTCAATAGTAAGCAATCGATAGCTGTGGCTGCCTTGTCCGTCTATCGGATGGATCCCTCGGACCGACCCCAAGTTCCAGTTCTAAGTCCAAACCCAGGTCAGCTCAGCAAGGCCCGCCCTGAGACCAAACGATTGGGGAGCTACTCAGCTACGGGTGGCACCCCTGGCTCACTGTTCCCTTCCCCAAACCCACCCAATTTCCACGTGCAAAAGGCGCCGTCTCCCTCGCTCGCTCACATCCGGAGAATCCCCCTTCTGTTCTTTCTTACTCTATCCTGCCCCCCCAAGAGAAACAGCTTCCCCGGTTCAGACTAATCCCGTCGCCTACTTTTCCCCCCCGAACAAAAACCTGCACCCTTTTCCCCCCTTACCAAAAACCTCGGCCTTCCTCGCTAATCCAGCTCGATATCCGAGGTCACCAGCCTTCATTCCGTAACCTACCGCACATTCCCCATTCTTGAGCTCTCCCGGCTCCATTCCCAAGCCCCCTCCGTCGGCCTAGCCCGTACCCCATAAACTCCAACTACACTTTACATCCCCCCGCGAAGAAGCACCCTCTTCCCTTGGTCAGGGCCCTCTTCCGTCATCAACAAGTAGCAGAAAGCCATGGTTGCCGTCGCCACTATGCCCGCCCCCATCGGGGAGCCCCAGAAGCTGGAGAAGAAGCCCGTCAAGTTCTCCAACCTGCTCTTGGGCGCCGGTCTCAACATGTTCGAGGTCACCACCCTTGGTCAGCCGCTCGAGGTCATCAAGACCACCATGGCCGCCAACCGTGGCGACGGCTTTGGCTCTGCCCTGGGCCGAATTTGGGGACGTGGAGGTGTCCTTGGCTGTGAGTAACCTCCCAGATGACTCCCATCTATCTACGTGCCTGTGTCTGCTTGGATTCCCGGAACCGCCTTCAATCAATGCTGCGTGCTGCGAATCGACGCCATCTCGATAGTATATCACGCAGACGAGTGATCCGTCCGGAATAGTCACATCGCGATCGAGATTGACTGACACTCTTCTTCCCACAGTCTACCAGGGTCTTATTCCCTGGGCCTGGATTGAAGCTTCCACCAAGGGCGCCGTCCTGCTGTTCGTTGCCTCCGAAGCCGAGTTCTACGCCCGCAATGCTGGTGCTTCCCAGTTCGGTGGTGGTATCATCGGTGGTATCACGGGTGGTGTCGCCCAGGCTTATGCCACCATGGGTTTCTGCACTTGCATGAAGACGGTCGAAATCACCAAGCACAAGATGGCTGCCTCGGGCGTCAAGCCCCCCAGCACCTTCGCCACATTCATGGACATCTACCGCAAGGAGGGCATCAAGGGCATCAACAAGGGTGTCAACGCTGTTGCCATCCGTCAGATGACCAACTGGGGTTCCCGTTTCGGCCTCTCCCGTCTGGCTGAGCAGAGTATCCGCGACTTGACCGGCAAGAAGAACGGCGAGAAGCTCGGTGCCTGGGAGAAGATCCTTGCGTCCAGTATCGGTGGTGGTCTGTCCGCCTGGAACCAGCCCATCGAGGTCATCCGTGTTGAGATGCAGTCTAAGAAGGAGGATCCCAACCGTCCCAAGAAGATGACGGTCGGTAACACTTTCCGCTACATTTACGCTAACAACGGTATCTCCGGCCTTTACCGTGGTGTGGCCCCCCGTATCGGTCTTGGCGTTTGGCAGACGGTTTGCATGGTTGCTTTGGGTGATATGTGAGTTACTCCGCGACTTACTGCCTATCGACACGAACAATGCTAATTAGGGCGAAACTATAGGGCGAAGACTTACGTCGAGAAGATCACCGGCGACAAGGTCACGGCCAAGCACTAAGGTCACGGCGTTGCAACGGGGATTCGAGACCCATGCCTGGAAAGGTTGTTGGGGTGAGCATTTAACGGTTAGCAACAGTGTGGGGAAGCTGCTACAGCTCCATTGATATCGCGGATAGTCCCCCCGCCATAATCCCGCGCGAGTGAAATCCCGGGGCCCCACGTCTGTATCCGTTCTTGATTTCGTGTTTTATCTTTAGAAATGTGCCGCTGCGGGAACACCTCGCGCCCTTGGAATTTTAGACCAACAATTCATGGATCCAATTCCAGTAGCCGTTGACGGTGGCTAATTACTGCCGTATGATTGTGCAATGAGTTGCTACTGATGCCTCGACGGCGTCCGGTTGAGCTTGCCCGGTCACATGTCCGGTCGAGGCCGAGCAAGCGGCTCTCGGACCGGCCAAGCACCACAGTAGCTTCAACAAGACTGACTAGGACCAGGACTAGTACCAGGACCAGGACCAGGACCAGGGCCAGGCAGCTGCGCTCCGTCATCGATGAAACATACCTTCGGTCCGGGCCCGTGATCCGCTGCGGCTAGGTCTGACAACGGTTGCTTATCATATGTGGAACTAGGTATATTTGCATCGGCGGCAGATTCATGGACACTGTGTAGGAGTTATAAACTAGGGGCCTTTTTCGGCAGAGCTCCCTTTTTTTCCCTTTTCTCTATCTCTCTTCTTTTTTTAGATAGTTCGATTGTGAAGCTGCTCCGCTCATCCCCTCCTCAAGGCTGTGCTAGTACGTGAGATTTGAGCTGCCATCTGGCGTCTTTGCGAAGGCACTGCCTATGAACGTCCCGATGCTTCTTCTAGTCTTCCAGCCAAGGGACGACGGAGTGGTCGGCTGTTGGACTGACATCGTGATCGCCATCGACGCACGACACATCGGGATCACCCTCGCAGCATTCCGGCGTCTCCGCATTGTCTTTTGCATCGTGTCTTCCAAGTTCTCTTTCTGATTTTTGGTGCGGTTTTCTTTTGTACTTGCGTTTCTCCTGTGTCCTGTATCCCGGATACTCACTCGAACTAAATGGAGTTGTGTCCCCAAATGTACTGGCACCAGGGGCAAATGTAAGGGGGATTCGAGGGCATTGCATCTATCCTGCCGAGCGATACAGATATCGACCTTGAGATCATGATCGATCAGGCAACATACTCGATCCTCACCCTAGAAGTTCCGCCAAAATATTTCAACCCTGATCTTGCCACGTTCTTCGCTGAACGCACTACATACAATGCTGTATTAGCATCTTCCAGAACGCCTGACCAGACCTAGGTACTGTGAGCGGCACTCATGGATGGACGTACCCCCCACCCACGCTGCAGAGTAACTGAGCAGGGGCAAGCCTAGATGCACTCGGAAAACATCATAAATGATCACCTCAAGCTAGCCACACACTACATCGTCGATATACCTGACAGCCGGTAGCACAACCTCAAGACCAGTGGTTTATTCGGGTTATCGGGAGTTTCTTCTTTTTCCAACAACCAGCGGGAAAAGGTTCGGTTTCGAGCCTTGGCTAGTCTGTACTGAGTCTCGCTGGAAGGATAAATTGCAACGCGGTTCGAGGACATTTCCCATATGCTTCTGTGGGCCTGCCTTCCTGTTGCTGGAGCAGACCAGGACTTCACCTAGAGATATTTGGGGGGCAGTATCGGCAGTTTGCATTGCTAGCCCTATGATCCATGGCAGGCTGCGTTTCACGTGTTTTTCAAGGGCATTTCTTTATAGCTTCCGGTAATCCTAGGTCTCGGCATAGCAGATGAGGATTGAATGTAGTTATGCAAACCGCCTGTTGCGATTGCCCTCCCCCGTCACCAATTCTCTAGCACTATAGACAATATATTCTTCCCCTGTAATACAGTTCAGGCACCCGTTACGACAACAAAACTGTGTGTTCTGGGCAATCGCGATCAATGCTGACGATTGTTAAACTGCTGGGCCCTTCAATGAGGACGAATAGTAAACAATTAGTATAACTGGCGATATATGAAGAGAAAACGCACACAGTATTGGGGTAGGAATCTCTACAACACTCTCAAGGGGCCTTTGGTAGATTGCCTTGCCCAAAGAACCACGTATCCCCAATGTAGTCCAAGCACTGACGGACCCATCCCCTACATTAACATGACAACATGTCCTCCTGTCCGTATCAGACGATGCAGAAAAACACCGTGGGAACCAACAATGGTCTGCCACGACACCAGAGCAAACACCTGTCCAATCAAGCCAAGCGGGGTCGAGCACACTCAGCATTTGATCTTGCCGTACCGATTCCTGGTCGCCTCGAACCAGGCCGATGAGATGGCGCCCTCGTCGCAAAGCGACGTGAGTGTGAAGCCCCAGTTGAGGACCTTCACCCTGTCGTCTCGGCTGTGGTCATCGCACCACGGCTTCGTGATGGCGCCGCACGAGGCGAAGCGGCTGAGATTGTGCCAGAGGCGGGAGCAAATGCGGGCGACGTTCTCGTCGACGACGGCGTGGACGATGTAGCTGTTGGTGACAGTAATCGGGCCCGCGGCAGGCCAGCGTTCAAGCGAGCAGCGGGCGGTGCTGCCAAGCGGGGGGCCCGAGGGGCCGAGAAGGGGCGCCTTGTGGGGTTTCGCCGAGGTGAGGACGCTGACGGCCACAATGAGGAGGGCGGTGAGGTGGAACTTCATTGTTGATGGCAGAGCTCGAGGCAGGAATAGAAAGACTGTATGAGTGTAAGGCGAGAGAATGAATGGGCGCCGACTGTTTGGAAAAGGAGTGGTGAGGGCAAGGTAAGACTCGAAGCTTGGAATTGGAACTGTGGGTTTTAATGTGCTGTGATGGACAGAAGGGTAATAATAACGAGATAATCAAGCGGAAAGGGCGATAGATATAGACCTGCATGTCCCCTGAAGATGTCTGGGAACGGAGTAATAGGCACATCTTGCTCCATCGTTGTTTCAATGCACGATGCCATCACTAGTCTGTCTGTGGATCAGGCTCGCCACTGAGCTGGCAGAAAGTTAAAATCATACGTGATTCTCGAGCCTCGTGGCCAACTGCACAGGTATTAATGTTTGCAGTGCACATCTCATGGCTGGATGTGAAGCATCGGTGATGCGTAGACCCAATGAGACCACCGTCGTTCTAGCCAACGATGGATTCAAATGGTGGAGGCAGGAGAGATGGCTGTCATTGTTACTAAGCGATTCGGCTGGATTTGAAATCGGCTTGAATAACACGGCAAGCTCTGAGTATCTCACCGTCAGGGTGGCTCGAGGCAAACCGGTGCCGACAGCGGAGAACCACAGAGGTAGGGAGGTTCTGTTGAGGTGGAAAGTTTGTCACGATATCCAACAAGTACATGTAAGTGATGACAAAAAACCGAGATATAGCGGCTTCGTCACAAGTAGAATTGGCTTGAACACATGTGTTTTTCTGATCGAAAACAGTTTATACCACAATTAACTTCAATAGTCGGACTTGTCAAAGTCTCAAACGACATGAGGCTTCGCTACCTGTACGGCTTCATCGTGTGTTCTGAGCTCACTTGGCCAAAACTCGATGAGCCTCTGGTCTGATTCCGAGAACCTCGAGAGCTTTCTTTTCTTTTTTATTTTCTTTTATTTCCTAATCCTGCCATATTTTCACGTGTCAAGCAAGCAGTTGTACAGGAAGACCGTCTTCACAGGAAGGATCGTTGACCTCCTCGTCGAGCAGAAACCTGAGTACATCGTGGAATTTACAGCTCTAGAATGAGACTTATTCCGGAGAGAGATGCATGCAGCATGGAAAAATAGGAAATAATCACACGTGAAATGCAATCGTTCGGTCCCCTGCTGCGTGATCATGGCTACTGCCCATCCACTCCTGTTCGTAATGTAGCCAGTGAGTGACTCTTCTCGCATGCCCGTTGTCCTCGGAAAGCATTGCAGCGAAAATATCACCCAGAGGCGGCAGAATGGTTTATATGAAGCGAGAAGAGCTTGACAGGGACTGCCGGACAGAGCGCTCGTCACGATGCCAGATACGCGGAGGCAACTGATACTCTATAGACCTATTGAACGCCATAGCAGACGTATGCCATACGGCACCGGCCTCCCACAGTGAGAGAAATAACTAGACCGCATCCGTAGGCAAAGATTAACGGCGAGTTCTCAATCCGAAAACTCAGTCGTGTAGCTACTTTAGCGACAAGGGGTTCTCGTAATACCTACCTTAACCTCTGACAGCTTGCATAGTTTCTACATCATTTCCGATGTCAATCTCATTGCACATTTGCCACCGAGACTTGGTGACTAGATATACAGAGCCTTCAAATTCACATAAGGAGCGTAATCGATGCTTCAAGACTTGAAAGATACAGGAGCCCTTGATTCCGGCGTTGATCTTATGTCCTGGCATAGTCCTTGGCGCCACAGGCATCTCGGAGCCAGCGTCTGATACCAGACTCGGTGATCTTATGATGCCTTCCAGAGCTGTCAACCCCAATAACAGATCAGTTGGAGACCAAGACCCATTCGTCGCCGATAGCAGTCCACGTATTCACTAGCACGACAATGAGTGCTGACGAGCAAACCAAGTTAACTATTGAACAATGTGTGCCTCCAAGCTCTCCCTTCACCACTGGCCGGCACATCATGATGAACCACGGCGTCTGCCATACGTCAACCGCCGCACTCGGCATTCCGTCGCTGAGCCGGAAGCGGATCCTCACGCTGCGCGAGCGACACCCCCTCATTGTATTTGCCCGTTAAGGAGACCATTGCCAAGCCCACGAAAGAGCGCATTGTGTTCCTGCTTCTCTGGAGTGAGGGCTCCCACTACTATAGTATTCGGCTTTGCACTTTCGACACCACACCTATTGCGCATGGCAAACTCGCGAGGCCTGCTTTGGATCGGCCGTGAACAAGTCAACGGAGTAAACAGCGTACTGCAGCCTCCTCCTATACATATACATCTCATAACAGTGGCATCATAGCAAATATCCCATATTGGCCAGCTTGTAGAACGTCGACTGTTCCAATAGAGCGCACTGATCTTTCTTCTCAAGACACAATCACTTCATCGTGGCCAATCGAGAGATTAGCGAGTCACAAACTGAAGTATCTCCACGGCGGACTTTCGCCAACGTCCGCCAACGTGACTTGATGTTGAGAGACGGTCTTTGACCGTCCCAAACGTTTGCGTGGGCTTTCTACCCCGAGAGCGAACCTCTGACACCGCACAAGAAAGGACTGGTCTCTGAAAGACGTCATTTGCGTATGGACATTGCTTGCGAGAACCTCCAGCATCCGGATATTGCGATGCCTTGACGGCAACACTGGCAACCATCCCTAGGGACGGAGGCCCCGTGGAAAGCAAACGCGACACAACTCAGTCTCTCTTCAGCTAAGCCCAAACCAAGAGCCTCAAACGGACGAGCCCGCCAAGGCCAACAGACCTACGTCATCCAGGTTGCTGAAGACACCTACTCATAACATCGTCAACAACTCAGCCCCCTACTCCTTCTGTTGGTGATCCACGAAACTCTCCGGGACCACAGCCCAAAAATACACAAGATAACATTGCATAACGGTCACCTTGCCGCGTATGCCGTAATCTCAGTCATGGCCCAAGCCCTGCAATGGCCACGTCTCACAAGGCGAAGCCCTCCCGCAGCCTTCTCTCGAGCCCCAGCCAAGACCGACTCACTCAACCCCTCATCCAGCCTGCCTTCCAAAGCCTCAAAGTCAAAAACAGAGCCGCCTGCGCCTCCCCATCCAAGCCTTCGTCATCGCAAACCGAGGGGGCACGGCAGGATGGAGACCACGTCGCCCCCCCTCTTCCGAACCCCGCAAAGCCGGCCTTCCAACAAGGACATACGTTGAACTACAGACATGCCGCAACATCGGACGAAAGAGGAAAAGAAAAAGAAGAGGAGAGATGGGTGACGCCTCATCACTCAGCGAATGCGCTCGCTGCCCAAGACATCCGAACAAGTTCTTCGCCCAGCCCCGCAAACTTTCCCATCGCACACGTTGTAAAGCAGACGCAGGCCCGATGGCCCACGTCCACATTGGCTATGCCATCTGATGCAGAGTTCCAGGCCACAGGAAAGGCCAAGATGAATGGAAAAATAAAAGTAAAAAACAAAAACAAAGGGGGAGGGAGGCCGCACAGCTTGGAAGTCTGCACTTGCTCACTTCCAGCCCTTACAATTGGACATGTGCGTGCTCGGCGGCCCAACCGACCATGACCTTGATCGGATATTTCCGACGACCACACCCACCGCCCCTTATGCCCGTGTGAGAACAAGCCACGTTGGAAGAGGAGTAGAACAATTCGAGAAACTGCTTTTCCTCGCGCCAAGAAATCTTTTGTGAGAAATCATCAAAGTCACAAGGGGGCGAAGAGAATTAGAAGCACAGGCTTCTCCGTAGCATCGGCGCAAACACCACCTCTCGTCACCGTTCCCTCACTCTTTTCCCGCGTTATGTTGAGAAAGCACTGTGTACGTGTGTGTCGTCCTGCTATACCAGCAAGAGACTTGCGCGAATACGCGTGTATATGTGTGTTTGAATGGCATCCCCCCCCCCCCCCCCCCCCCCCCGCACTATCAGTGAAACTCGAAACACGTCGGCATAAAGCGGTAAATGGAAACGCATGAATGACGGGAGGGAGGATCAAACGGGTTCACGTCAAGCAAGCTAGAAATCCCACCGACCGCGCGGGCGGGGAAAAATTGGCCCAGACAGCGTACAAGCCAGGAAAGAGAGAGACGAGAAACAAGACGAGACGAACGGGCCGGCTGTGCACCACCACCACCACCACCACCACCACCACCACCACCCCCCTCCCCGTATTTTTCCGCCGTCGGCGCAGGGCGAAACGAGAAACAAGAAAAGAGAAGGGAAACAAACAAAACGTGGGGAGGGGGGTCGATCAACGTCGATGAGCCTGGGGACTGATGTTTCATGCTCTTTCTTTCTCTGTTCGCACCACTACCACCAGGCACTACCACCACACACACACTCACACAAGGGGTTTTTCCTTGGGCGAAAGGCTGTCTAGGTTCGCTTCTCCCACGGTGTCGGATCTCGACGGGCACTTGCCAATTGTGCCAAGGCTGCTGGTGCTGGTGCTGGTGCTGGGCTTGGCCTGGCCCACGTACGAGTTGCTTGCAAGACATTGAGAGTCGGCTTCGCCAATTCGTACCGTACGTAACGTAAATGCAGGGAGAGGTATCGGACAAGAAAAGAGAGAGAGAGAGAGAGAGAGAGAGAGAGAGAGAGAGAAGAGGGAGATAGGGAGTTGAAAGATGGAAAAGAGTGACACGCCGTCGTGAATTGACCCCGTCGCTGCGACGAAGTCGTAGCCGCTAGACCCAGGAGAGGTAGGTGAATGCCACAGAGGACCTGTTTTTCTGCTGTTGCCATGGAGAGCCAAGACAACAGTCCAAACACGCTTGTAAATTATAGTAAAGTTAAAATCATAACCGAGAAACAACAACACGCAACGCATGCTTCCATTATGGACCGAAAAGCCACGCCCCCCCCCCCCTTTCACCCCTGAACGCCCTTCCAAAGGAGGTTGCATCTAGGAAACAGCGTTCCGTCCGAGAATGATACCGATCTCTAATGGTTGGTCACCTGCATGATGATACCTACTCAACAATCACAGCAGCTGGCTCTCACCCCCCACTGTTACTTGGCGACGCAAAGGCACATGCAGCATCGTATCGGACCTCTACGAACTTGGTCTCGTTAGCTGATGGCAATTGGTGGCTGTAGCGGCCATCCCTCTCTGTCGCCACCGCAATCCGCTTCCACTATTGCTTCTAGAAGCCCCGGGGAGCAAAGGCGGATGCGTGCCATCACGTACCAGCGAACGGCCGGGCGGGTATGTGGGCAGGTGGGTGGGTGCGGTACGGACGGTGCAGCAGCTCCTTGGACTCCTGTAGGTCCGCTGGCGTGCTAGCTGCATCGTTGGACCGTGGTGGAGAAAAAGCAACCGGTTTGATGGAGAGCTCGTACGGTTTTTCCATCCCTTCCTGCTTCGCCCATAATGCATGCCAAAAAATGTACAGGATTTGCCGCGGCTCGACTCGGAACTATGGAGACGCCAATCTTAACGCCAGATCCATCTGGCCAGACAGTGCAAAAGCATGGCTCGGCTCCGTGTCGGCCATTGAACGCCCTGGTGCATGGCACCAATCATCACCGCCCTCTATCCTCCATGGAATCCGACTGAACCATTCCGGCTGATCAACGGAGTCTGTCCGGCCTAATGCCCTCACGATGGGGGCCTCGACACGGGAGTCAGGCCCCCCTCCCCCAAGGAACCAGGTCTACGCAGCAGTATTCCCCGACATAAGAGCCCACTGACTCGTCCCTCCTCCAGTTTCTCTGGGGTTCTCTCAGAAACGGGGCGTCGGCCAGCGTCTCATGGTTCCACCGAGCAAAGAAAAAAGAGACCACGGACACAGACCACAACAGAAAAACGGCCCGTAATTAATCGTTAGCCAACGGCAACTCCACGCAACGCCGTCGCGACTCACAGGGGGGGGGGAGTTGGGCTGGGGTCGACGCGAACCCTCACCGCTTGATCAAGTGCCGTGTGGAATGTCACCAGCTTTCCCCCGTGATTTGGGGGGCCTGCCTGCCCTGCCCTGCGCATGTGCTTCTACTGTTCCTCGGGATCCCAAGGTTGGGCATGCCATCTAGCCGGCCATCGGAACGACTTGTCGACGGCCGACTAAGACGTTGGCTTTTGGCTTCATTGCTTTGTTTCAGGCCCTCGCCCATCTGCAACCCCAACGTGCTGTACTCGAGCTGTGCCGTGTGGCACGCATCCGGCCCTGCAAGTCGCCGTCCGTCAGCCGCCTCGTTGCCATGCGGCCATGGGTCTTGACGTTCCATCGGCAAATAACATGGCTGGTGATGTTGCGTTGTCTTGAGTCGCGCCGACCACGATAAGTCGGATCAACATTGGCCGTCGACTCAGTACGCACGTTGAAGCGCAGCCGGTCTAGTCTAGTAACATTCCATTCCTTCTTCCGGAACGTTTCGACATGTCTCGGCTCGCAGCTGCAGCTGCAGCTACGCCGAACCCCTCGAGTACGATGCTATCCCAGCGCAGCTATTCGCCGTTGACTATGTATGTTGCGCGAGTACACTCTCGGGCCTAGGGGGGCTGCCCCACGACTTCGGATGACGTCTGTCGTGGAGGCGGCACGCATTGAGCAATTTCAATCGGACGAGATGAAGCGGCACATCGGCCGACTCATGATCGACTTCACCTCGTTAGGCCAAATCGAAAATCAACTCTCTCTGGGCGCCCGGTGGTCCCCTCCCCCCTTTTGGTCATGGGGGGATGTATGTATGGTAAACAAATATGATTGTGCAGAGTCTCCATCTCACCCACAGGTTAATGTCCGAAGATACCAGGGTTCGTGACCGCAGACGGAATACATACATGATGCAAATGAACGAGTATAGCGACCGTGCCATGACCCTTCCCATTAAGCCTTGACAGGGTTCCCTCGAGCGGTTGAACCCTTTTCCCTCCGAGCGCTTGCCTTTCTCATGGGTTGCCAGGTCGCAACAAGACGAGACAGCCCTGCTAGGAGGACGAATAGCTGTGTCAATGCTCTTCACTGACATACCAGGCGGATCCGGAGCCGGTAGGATCACCTCAGCGCCCACAAAGATCAAGATGAACGGCTGGCTGCAAAACAACCCTAGGTCCAGCCGATAGTATGGGCATTATGGGATACGGCCTGGAGGGCCGGCTTCCATATGTGCCAGTAGCTCGCAAAAAAAAAAAAAAGAAAAAAAAAAGACCGCCGTCGCTTGTAGCCATGCCCGATAGCCTAATAGACGGATCGGAGTTGAAGACCAAGGTACCGTATACCCCCTTAAGGTCGCACAACCGGAGCGATTGAAGACGTAACGGGACCGAGGCCTTGCTATGCCTGATCCCTGCATCTTGGGATGTGCAATTGTGAAGCAGTATTCCGACGGTCTGAAGACCGTGAAGCTGGAAAAGGCGAATTCCTGCCAAGTAGTGGCGGTGCTGATCGCCTACAGCACAGAAGACATTATCAAAGACCTTCTTCTCCGGAGGCGGGGGGTACATTCATAGGCGAAAGTCGCTGGCCAAGACTTTGAGGTTCAATATTGCCCACCCCAAAAAAACATCAGTGCGCCAATGCTGAGCCCTCTTAGATTCCTTTGGACCTTCACTCGCTCAATCTCCAGGATGATGATTTCTCACGGCTCAGCGGGACTTTGCTGGCTGAACCTGTGAGCCGAGAGAGATCATCTATACTTGGAAATGCCCTTGTCTTACAATAGCCAAACGAGGCGGTCGTGGGTTGGGAAAAGGCGCATATCAAAATCCGCACAAGGGCTGTCGTTTGCTAGACGGCCAAGACCCTGGAAGTGCCTCGTTACGGGGACCCGATCTTCTCCAAGCCCACTAGAGCCGACTGAATTGGAAGGGAGGTCATGCAGGCCCGACTGGCGGCCGAATGAGGCTTCGAAGGGTCGGCGGGCTTGCAGCCAGTGCGGGAGAATCAGGGCCGTCAAATCCCCGCATTCTACAGGATGCGGGAGCGGAGGCACAGTGCAGCGATTTGAAGCAACGACATCGGGGGAACGAGGAACTCTGTGTGTGGGGGGGGGGGGGGGGGGGGGACGCGCCTGGGAAGCGTGATGGTGTGGTGTGTAGAGTCTAAGATGCAGCAGTGCGGCGATACTCCGGAGGTGGTCCTAACCCGGAGTTGGTCGAAATGCCATATCATCCAATCCGACAGCGAGGTTCTGAAATGGCTCAGCGTTTCCTCTTTACTAACGAAAGCGAGCACAAAGACGGTGAGCGAGTGCCGAGAGTCTCCACGGGAGCTCACGAGGACAATCACTAGCTTTGGCCAGCGAGGGCGAGGTTTCTCCAAGCCCCCGCGACCGTCCAGGTTTCCCTGCAGGTTCTTTGGACGGGTCTGTCATCCAGTTCAGACGTAAGGATTGTAAACCACACCTGGGCTTTAGATGGGCCCGGGCGTCGCTCCGTGGCAAGGCCAGGCAGATAGACTGGGATGGTGGGTAGACCGTGCTCGACATGCTCGGTGAGCGATTTCAGCATCAGCCGATTCCGCAGACGAATAGACGGTCAAGCGGCTCAGTTTGACCGAGGCAAAATAGCCAAGCAGACCAGACACGTTGTGCATGACGGATCACCCCTCGCCTCCACAACGGCGAGACCGAACGCTGACCGACACGGCTCCGATCTTTTGACATGCCGCGCTTCGGACGGAGAGATGGGATAGCGAATTATCAGCTTGGGATACCCAGAAAGCTTAGGCTAGTTCCAGCGGTAGCGAAGCGAGGGAAAGAGGCGTCGATTAGCCACTCATGGTCGGAGGTTGGTTCATAACCGACCCGCGCAGTGGGAGGTACGGATCGGCCGGAGCGGCCACCTGGACTGAGTAAGAGAAAGGTCATCGAACAGGAAAAGCCCCAGTCAGCATGACGTAGAGGCGTAGAGCCTTTCTCGACAGGTGAGCCCGAGGAGGAGGGACTTGGGGCAATTGGATTAGTGAAATCCCAGAGAACCATCGTGTGTCTGATTTGTGATCCATCAAACCGGCCACCCACCTACTCAGCACGGAGCAGCTCTGTCATTTCGAGGACCCGTAGGGCCCGTGTGCCAATGGGCAGTGAACAGGCATCGATGGTGGAAAGGCATAGATACATACACAAGGTGGGCGAGGGACCCTGTATGCATGTGAGATGCGGTGAACAGTGGATGTCCATCGGCAGGGCTAGGGCCTTGGGGAAGGGGTTTCTCGCCGTAGACTACCCGTACACTAGGGTTGAACCCAGGACTGCGTCAAGAATTGAGAGCTTCCCCGGCTTAGAGAAAGAACCAGATAAGACGAGGTCGGACCAGACCATCGCTATCCAAGGAGAGCGTAATGCACGCCGACGAGGCCAGCCAGACTTTGTCCAGCCTTGGCCCCCACGGAAAAGGTCATTGGGAAGGGATGTCGGTAGCTAGCCGGGGCCCTGGGAGCCGTGTGAATGGAGGTGGTCCTCCAGCACCGCTGATTTTCTTATCCACAGCGGAGCTGAGAAGGCCAAAACTCTTGCCTTCTCGTTCGCCGAAACCGTCCATTGATGGAGGATTTGTGGTGGAGAGGCACGGTAAGGTAGTTTAGACGGTAGGCGGCTCGGGCGATACACCGTAGCATACGGGCGGATACGCAGCAAAGCTGGCCTAGCTTTTCTCCTTGCTA